CCGTTCCGCGTGGGGCTGTACACGGGCGAGATCAGCACGACGCGCGCCCTGGACGAGGCGGACTCTCCGCGGCAGCGCCTGCTGGTGCTGGTGAAGGACCATGGCGAGCCGGCGCTGGCGGTCACGGCCACCGTGCTGCTGTCGCTGGTGGACAGCAACCAGGCGCCAAAGACCTCGTTGCGAGTGTCTTCTGGTGCCATGAGCGCTGAGACAGCTCTGGTGGACGTGAACGTGTACCTGATCATCGCCATCTGCGCGGTGTCCAGCCTGTTGGTGCTCTCGCTGCTGATTTACTTGGCGCTGCGGTGCTCAGCGCCACCCACCGAGGGTGCGTGCGGGCCGGGGAAGCCCGTGCTGGTGTGCTCCAGCGCGGTGGGGAGCTGGTCTTACTCACAGCAGAGGTGGCAGAGGGTGTGCTCTGGGGAGGGGCCGCCCAAGACGGACCTCATGGCCTTCAGCCCCAGTCTTCCACCGTGTCCAGTACCAGAGGTGGAAACGGAAGAACAGTCTATTGGAGGGGACCACTCTAGGAAGGTGGGTATTACTTTTTAATTTTCATATTTTTTTTTGGTTTTCTGAAACTATATAACTTATTCCTAAAGCTGCCCAAATTTCTTTTTTTTTATTGCTTAAAGTATTACAAAGGGTATTATATATGTGTCCTTTTTTTCTCCCCCGCCCTTGACAATCCCCTGGCCTCCCCCACCCCCCATTCATATTTTTTTTGAATGATATTTTATTTTGCCACCTTTTTCTCGTCAAATACATGTCTTGGAATATCTTCATCCTCTGTCTGTATAATATTTCTATAATGCCTTAAATATATCTAGAAATACCTATTGTAGCATAGTTTAGTTTAAAAGTTGATTTTATATTTTGTCTATTGTACCCTGTGCATCAACTTTTGCTGGTTACTTCAATTTAAAAAATATGTCATTTATCCTGAACTTATTTATATTTTTACTACAAATATTTAATGTTTTTGTGGGCTTTAAAATAAGCCTTTAACTTTTTAATGTTATAAATGTTTGTAAAATTAGCACTTTAATTCACAAGTTTACTTATTTTTCAAATCTAAATTTTAAAATGACCATGTTATAGTAACAAAAAGACTGAGCGGATCAATTTTCTTCCTGGTAAAAGTGTGCTCTCTATTCCCTAAGTAAAGAATATGTGTAGTGTAACCTAACTTATAATGCATAATAGATCTTTAATATTCAATGTTTATACTTTATTCTTAATAGTACCACATGAAAACAGGAAGTTCATTCATAAAAATGTTCTAATCTATGGAATTAAGTTGTGTTTTAAGCTTTTATACTTTTTAAAAATTTTTATTTTGGAGTGGTGGTACCTGTGTCAGTGTACATTACTCACTTATTTTAGCAGCAGAAAATAATTCCTATTTATTTATATAATTTTACCCAGTATCCTATTGTTTAGCAGAATGAGGCATTGCTTATTATTCAAGCATTAGCTCTTCAACTTTGAGGAAGGAGTTATGATAATGTTTACTAATGAAGAGCATTTGAAAATCAATTTTATTTTAGAAGATTGAAAATGATTCATTTCATCCAAATTAATATTAGAAGTTTCAAAAGAAAATAGAATTATCTTTGTAGAATTTTTTTTACTGCTTTGATATCACATAGTGCAATTTAGTTTGATAATTCTCTAGTCATCTTAAACAGGGTTGTGTTGGGATGATATAGACTCAGAAATGCAAAACAATTAAATTGCATTGCCTGGCTGGTGTGGCCCAGTGGTTGAGCATTGACCTATGAACCAGGAGGTTTATTTCTGGTCAGGGCACATACCCTGATTGCAGGCTCAATCCCTAGTAGGCGGTGTGCAGGAGGCAGGGATCAATGATTCTCTCTCATCATTGATGTTTCTATCTCTCTCTCCGAAATCAATAAAAAAACAAAATATTTAAAATAAATTGCATGGTGGCCAATACTATCTTATTAATTATGCCTTTCTGAAACTGGTTGTTACCCAGTATCTATAATTTTATTTTAAATTTTTTATTAATTTCAGTGTTACCAAATAGTAATGCATCTTGACCCCCCCCTTTTTTTAGCAATTATCTTTTCCTTTCTGTATGCAGATTTAATTTTTACTCTATGTGCATCAAAAATAGCTTCTAATAAAAATTGACACCTCTATTGAAGTTTAGAAACACTAAAAGAGAGAATTGTGGCAGGAATTTAAGAATGGCATTGTCTTCAATGTTAATATTTTCCATGGCCAGTCTCCAACCTTTAGAGATTATAGACGGTAAGTTATGCAGAGTATTTCAACTTGTGTATAGAATTCCTTCTTCTTATATCTGCCCTCTCTTTCAGACCTTTATATCAGTGTTCCCCTCTGCAGAAAAGCCTTGTCTAAAGATAACTCTTGATGTGAGGTATTAATGAAACATAGAATTATGTGTTTACCAATTTAGTGCTATTTGTTTTATTTTGCCTTCTTTTAAACATATTTTCTTTATAAATACAAGTATTCACAAAAATATTAATCTAACAAGTTAGGATTTTATCTAGCAGCATAATAACCTGACTGGTGTTGCTCAGTGGTTGAGCATTGACACATGAACCAGGAGGTCACGGTTTGATTCCTGGTCAGGGCACATGGGGGGCGGGGGTTGTGGCCTCAATCCCCAGTAGGGGGCATGCAGGAGGCAGGGATGATGATTCTCATCATTGATGTTTCTATCTCTCTCTCCCTCTCCCTTCCTCACTTTCATGTACTAAAATTTTCTTGCTTTTCTTTAGGGCAAATATGTTGGTCTTGGAAGTAGTTTGAATTATAAATCTTTGGCATAGATTCACTGAATCAGCATTTTAAAGTGTTTCAAATGAAGACTACACTTTTACATAAAACCTTAGATTCCCTTGGGTATCCGCATACAATGTTTTTGTTAGTAGAAAAATTTGCGGTTTTCCAAATGGCTGCCATCTTAGTGGAAGGATTTCAAATATTGAATAGTTGTTCCTTAACAGCCTTGAGAATGAGTAAAATATTTTTATTTAAAAAAGACAACATGATAAACTTTATTGTAATTGATAACAGTTATGAAAATCTCAATGTATTTTTTTGTACTTGAGATAAAAACAGGAAAATAAAATTGAATGAATGAATGGGATTTAGAATACCCTTTATACCACACTCTCCTTAAGCCAATTCGGGAATAAAATGGGTATAAACAAACTGGCAACTATAACTTGAATTCCTGATTCAGTGGTGTGTATTTTTTTTTAATTAGAAAGAGGTTATCTTTATAAATAGCAATGGATGCAATGCAAATTTAAATTGTCCTTCAGGGTGGAGACAACAGCATTCATCCAGAGCAGATACAGGAATTGGAAAAAAGCTTTAAAGTGAGCCAAAGTTGAGTATACCTTGTATTTCCAGAAACCAGTACTTGGTAAATTCATTAACATGAAAGCAATGAAATATTTGGATGAATTGATAAGTAGCTTACATATTTAGCACTGATTTGAAATATCATTATGTTAAAGAGGTAACTTAGAGAACTTGCATCTTGAGTTACCCTCTACACAACTGGACTAAATGTTTAGAATAATTTAACATAGTATAAAGATTAAGCAATAGAAAATTATAGAATATTAGCAATGGAGTAAACTTAATAAGAACTAATTCCAAAATGATCAATTTCTAAAAAGTCTAAAAAACCAGTATCACTAGTAACCTACAACATGGAGTTTTCATCTTCATATATATGATAATATAGTTGTGTGGTAGCACATTCTCTTACATGTCCATATGCAAGATAAAACTCTTCTTGGAATTCTAATTTATAAGACAAACCCACCTTTAAAGATCTAGTGGTCACACGCAAGTACTATATAAAGAATTAAAGGCCCACAAAGAAAAACATGGACCAATATGAAGGGAATCACAGAAGAAACAATGTAAGTCAAAGAAATACCAGTATAAACGCAAACGTACTTCCATTTTGAGCCACAGGATGTCGTTGTTCTCCAAGGAGAGGATTGTTTTAACAAAGAAAACTACCATTATTCCCAGGATCAGAAAGATTCTCCACCTTTCCGGAGCTTTAAAGACTACAAGCACACCCATATTGTTAAGATCATCTGGGACCTCAGGAATAAAGACTCGGAAGAAATATCTCAAAAGGACTACACCTTTCTACTCGCGAAATGTTGATTTACTAACCAGAATCAAGGCATGATGTTAGCTTCAGGATCAGGTGACGAGGGAACCCGGTTTTTGCTGCTCTCGCTTCTGCTCTTCGCTCCTCAGGAGACCGGGAGCCGCCAGGTACACTACGCGGTCCCCGAGGAGGCCAAGCACGGCACCTTCGTGGGCCGCATCGCGCAGGACCTGGGGCTGGAGCTGGCGGAGCTGGTGCCGCGCCTGTTCCGGGTGGCGTCCAAAGGCCGCGGGGACCTTCTGGAGGTAAATCTGCAGAATGGCATTTTGTTTGTGAATTCTCGGATCGACCGCGAGGAGCTGTGCGGGCGGAGCCCGGAGTGTAGCATCCACCTGGAGGTGGTGGTGGAGAGGCCGCTGCAGGTTTTCCATGTGGAGGTGGAGGTGAAGGACATTAACGACAACCCGCCTGTGTTCCCGAGAACACAAAAGAATCTGTATATCGCGGAATCCAGGCCGCTTGACTCCCGGTTTCCGCTAGAGGGCGCCTCGGATGCAGATATCGGGGTCAACGCTCTGCTGAACTACAGACTGAGCCCCAATGAATACTTCTCTCTGGAAGTACCGACCAACGACGACCAGGTAAAACCGCTTCAACTGGTACTAAAAAAACCTTTAGACAGGGAAGTCGCTTCGGAGCTCCTCTTGGTGCTTAAAGCAACAGATGGGGGCAAACCTGAGCTGACAGGTACTGTAGAAGTACAGATCACAGTGCTGGATGCAAATGACAACGCCCCGGTATTTGACAAAGCAGTCCATCGGGTAAAGCTACTGGAAAATACAAGGAATGGCACGCTGGTTCTTAGACTTAACGCCTCGGATTTGGACGAGGGTTCAAATAGCCACATTCTTTACTCCTTTGCAACTGATGTCTCCCCGGATACAGCAGCAACTTTTTGCATAGAACCAGTCACTGGAGAAATAAAAGTAAATGGAAAAATAGATTTTGAAGAAACTCAATTATGGAAGCTTCAAATAGAAGCAGTTGATAATGGAAGTCCCCCAATGTTTGGTCACTGCACCATCTTGATAGAAGTCGTGGACATCAATGATAATGCTCCGGAGTTGCTAGTGACTTCACTCTCACTTCCTGTTCCTGAGGACGCTCTACTGGGGACCGTCATCGCCTTGATTAGTGTAACCGACCATGATGCCGGTGTCAACGGGCAAGTGACCTGCTCATTAACACCCCAATCCCCCTTCAAGCTGATGCCCACCTTCAAGAATTACTATTCGCTGGTGCTGGACAGCGCCCTGGACCGCGAGAAGGTGTCACACTACCAGTTGGTGGTGACTGCGCGGGATGGGGGCTCACCTTCGCTGTCGGCCACCGCCAGCGTGTCCGTGGAGGTGGCCGACGTGAACGACAACTCGCCGCTGTTCGCGCAGCCCGAGTACACGGTGTTCGTGAAGGAGAACAACCCGCCCGGCTGCCACATCTTCACGGTGTCGGCGCGGGACTTGGACGCGCAGGAGAACGCGCTGGTGTCCTACTCGCTGGTGGAGCGGCGGGTGGGCGAGCGCGCGCTGTCGAGCTACGTGTCGGTGCACGCGGAGAGCGGCCAGGTGTACGCGCTGCAGCCTCTGGACCACGAGGAGCTGGAGCTGCTGCAGTTCCAGGTGAGCGCGCGCGACGCGGGCGTGCCTCCTCTGGGCAGCAACGTGACGCTGCAGGTGTTCGTGCTGGACGAGAACGACAATGCGCCTGCGCTGCTGCCTCTGCCTCC